ATTATTTACCAGAAATGACACGATCGTGTTGTGTGAGAGGCTGCCAGTCCCGGTGTCGTGCCAAGGTAGTTATCCCTGCGAAAATTTTTATCCCCTCGTCGGGAGCGCGCACGGAGTAGGAAGAACAGCCCGACTTAACTCCGCTTCAATTCCAACGTGCAGAACTTGAAATGTGAAAGGTTGTACGTGTATGAAAGTTGAACTTTACTGTTTTATTTTTTTACTTCACATGTTTTAGCAGAATATCGCCAGTGATATTGATCTAAAACTAATAATAAAACACAAACGTTTGCTTGAAAGCTGGTCGCTGACAGCAGTGTCTACTCCTCCCTCTGAAAGCAAACAGATCCTTGTTCTTTTCCACACGTTCATTAAAAAAATCTCTCATTGCTTCACAGTGTCCAAATGTTCTCATCTCATTGAAAACTGTTGTAAACCATATACTTGTAAAAAAAAATGAAATAGAAAATGGAGTGCACGTGTAATTATTAAAGACTATATGCAGAAGGAAAATAATTTTTTCCTGGTTGAAATTTAGTACTTAAATCTATATCTGTGTTTATATTAACGTACAATTTATCTATGTTGTACTATCCTTTATAAACAGTTTGTCTTCTAACATCAGCCGTTTTATTTCATCCCATTTTGCCACAATTGGCAATATGGGATGAAATAAAACCTGCTGTAATCTGTTCCCCCTGTCTAAATCAGACAAAAAAGGTCCCAGTTTTTCCATTTTTGGCTTATAAACATCTTTTATGATGACAACTAACCTCTGAAACTTTGGAGTTGATTTACCTTTATTTCTTAAAGTTACAAGGGGGGAACAAATTATAGCAGGCCACCTGCCATAATCTGTTCCGCCTGTCTAAATCAGGCAAAAAAAGGCCCCAGCTTTTCCATTTTTGGCTTATAAACATCTTTTATGATGACAACTAACTCCTGAAACTTTGGATGTGATTGACCTTTATTTCTAAAAGTTATAAGGGGGAACAAATTATAGCAGGCCACCTGCTATCTGTTCTCCCTGTCTAAATCAGGCAAAAAAGGCCCCAGCTTTTTCATTTTTGGCTTATAAACATCTGTTATGATGACAACTAACTCCTGAAACTTTGGATGTGATGGATCTTTATTTCTTAAAGTTATAAGGGGGGAATAAGCATTTTGGCTTATAAGCATCTTTTATGATGCTTATAAGCCAAAAATGAAAAAGCTGGGACCTTTTTTGCCTGATTTAGGCCCCGTCCACACGAAGACGAACCCTGGCCTAAACGCACAAATTTTTCACCAAACCAGCCTCTCATCCACACGAAGCCGGTGTTTCGGGGTTCTGTAAACGATCTTTTTTTTATTCAGCCTTCAGAGTGGGAAGATTTCGAAACGCCGCTTTCGCGTTTCCATCTTTACACTCTAACCGCATTTTTTTTTTTTACACGCATGCGTCATAGCTTCGCCTCTAAACACGCATGCGCGACCAGTATTACAACAACAATGGCGCCGTTGCTGCTAATGCTACTCACCCTGCTGTCGGGCTTACAACAGAATCTTCCTCTTCTGGAATATCTCCAGGAAGAACAGAGCAATATCGACGACATAGTTCAGTACCTGAATTTGACTTAACCACGAAAATGGACCCGCAGGGCAATCATGTATAAATATTAGTGCGCATGCCCAACATTTCGTCGCTTATTTTTGCTTTGGCACCACAGCGCCACTTACATGCCTGGCATACATTTTGCAGCGTTTTCATGCATTCGTGTGGACGCTCAGATTTATTTTACGTCTCCGTCTTTACGGCAAACGTTTTGGAAAATATCAGCGTTTCGTGTTCATTTTGACTTCGTGTGGACGGGGCCTTAGACAGGGGGAACAGATTACAGCAGGTTTTATTTCATCCCATATTGCCAATTGTGGCAAAATGGGATGAAATAAAACGGCTGATGTTAGAAGACAAACTGTTTATTAAGGATAGTACAACATAGATAAATTGTACGTTACTGTAAACACAGATATAGATTTAAGTACTAAATTTCAACCAGGAAAAAAATATTTTCCTTCTGCATATAGTCTTTAATGATTACACGAGCAGTCCATTTTCTATTTCATTTTTATTACAAGTGTATGGTTTACAACAGTTTTCAATGAGATGAGAACATTTGGACACTGTGAAACAATGAGAGATTTTTTTAAGGAACGTGTGAAAAAGAACAAGGATCTGTTTGCTTTCAGAGGGAGGAGTAGACACTGCTGTCAGCGACCAGCTTTCAAGCAAACGTTTGTGTTTTATTATTAGTTTTAGATCAATATCACTGGCGATATTCTGCTAAAACATGTGAAGTAAAAGAATAAAACAGTAAAGCTCAACTTTCATACACATACAACCTTTCAAATTTCAAGTTCTGCGCGTTGGAATTGAAGCGGACTTAACTCGGGCTTTTCTTCCTACTCTGTGTGCGCTCCCGACGAGGGGATACAAATTTTCGCAGGGATAACTACCTTGGCACGACACCGTACGGTTATTTCGCATTATGCTTACTTTTTTCCATATAGTCAGAGAAACAAACTCAATCCTTTAGTCCTTCGTTTAGCTATGCTGCGGTTGTTTACACTACGCCTTTTCCACCAAAAATGGCGTCTTAGCAACAAATGTCACGTGACTGACGGAGACCGATTTTCAATAATCTTTCTGCTGCTGTAAATTTCCCCATTGTGGGACAATAAAGGGATTTTCTATTATATTCTATAAAAGGGGTAGAAAGATATAAGTAAATCTAAACAATGTATTTTTTAAAAAATATATCTACAAAATCTCTAATATTCAACAACAAAAAATACGTAGTTAAGCATATTGTGCAAAACAGCCATAAAAAGATAAAAATCCTATCAGATTTATAGTCCCCACCCTGCAGATATATTAGAATCTGTCCTTAAATTATAGCCAAACCCATTTACACAGTAACAGATTAAAACCTTTAGATAAACCAAACATTACCGCCACATATCTGACTCTATAACAATTAAAACAACTATTTTTCATTAATCTCAGACGGAACTATTAAATGACATGTTTTATATTAAACTGAACTTCCAATTTTCACCACTGTTCGGCGCCAAGTAACCTTTACTCTGATCACGGCTTGCTTGGTCTCGCAATGAATCCTGGGATATCCAAGAATACCGAGGATACATCAGATCCGTCCTTCAAATCCTATCGTATCCTCGGTATTCTTGGATATCCCAGGATTCATTGCGAGACCAAGCAAGCCGTGATCAGAGGAAAGGTCACTTGTCGCCGAACAGTGGTGAAAATTGGAAGTTCAATTTAATATAATACAACTCTGTGAATAGTTCCGTCTGAAATCAATGAAAATAGTTGTTTTAATGGTTACTGAGTCAGATATGAGGCGGTAGTGTTGGGTTTATCTAAAGGTTTTTATCTGTTACTGTGTAAATGGATTTGGCTGTAATTTAAGGACAGATTCTAATATATCTGCTGTGTGGGGACTATAAATCTGATAGGATTTTTATCTTTTTATTGCTGTTTTGCACAATATGCTTAACTTCGTATTTTTTGTTGTTGAATATTAGAGATTTTGCAGATATATTTTTTATAAATATATTGTTTAGATTTACTTATATTTTTCTACCCCTTTTATAGAATAGAATAGAAAATCCCTTTATTGTCCCACAATGGGCAGATTTACAGCAGCAGAAAGATTATTGAAAATGGTCACACAGATGTGGACCTTAGAAAAATGTATAAGAATAACATAATAGGGAAGAGTTAAAATATAAACAATAAAATAATGTAAAGTGTTTTAACAATATAAAACTGGGGAATAAATAACCAATATGCAGCTATGGACATTTTTACAGTAATGGATATTAGAAAATAGCAGCAGCATCAGAGATGTGCAAAATGACAGCAGCATTTTATTTAACTGACTAAGGTTTCTATCATTACATTTGATTTGATTTGTTCCTGCTCCTGGTGGTTTGAACCTTTATTCCACTCTGGATTCTTGTGAGTGTAGTCTTTGTTCACTTCACAATAAAAAAGAAATAAATAAACAGTTTTGAAAACTTCTGCATTCATTCTTTTCCTGCTTTGTGTGTCAACGTTCACGGTTGCTAAGCAACAGAGCATACTGCGGTAAAACCCGCCGAAGGGTAGACCTGGTCGAATTTACAGCCAAAACTCTTCCGGTCTCCTTATTTTCAAGGACTTCGAAGGATCCAGTCTAGGTAGACCGCGTCCTTGGAGGACAGGTCCTAGGTTTTCGAACAGAGCCATTGTGTACTGCTTTAAAATGTCCGCCAGCTGAGTTCTTGATGCGCCATCTAGTGGCGGAAACAAAATATCTATTCCTGAAAATTACTGAAAAACGTAAAAACTTCTGATTTGTGTTACATATTTTTCTAATTACTGCAACAAGGTTTAAGATACTTTTTTTTTTTTATCCGTACTTGACTTGATTATGTGAACCACATTTAACTGTTTACACAGTATTTATATAATGAAACCTTTAGAGATGGAATTTAAAAATATATATTTTTATATATATAACCCGCACTGATATTTTATTATAGCTGAAAGACTGTAGAACATTTATTTAATATATTTTTAAATATGTATCTCACTTTTTCATTCTTGAATTATCCATCCTGCTTATTTTTTGCAATTTTTTTCCCTTGTTTGTTTCTAATGTTCCCTCCTCAGGTTCCCTCGCTAGGACTGAGCAAAGAGAAGTTTGCTATGGCCGTGATTTTGACATTCCCTTTGGCACTAAGCCGGGCTTTTACAGAGGTGATCTGTATTTTTATCCAACTGGTGGCAGTGGGAGGAAAACACTGATGGAGAATGGGAAGGTGAGCCATTTGTTTATTCTCTGGTGTTAAGACTGAACACAATTGTTGCTCAAAACATCTATAATAAAGATTATGGATGGTCACACACGCTGAAGTTAGTTATATTTTTAAAAAAACATGCGGCCCCCCACCCCCGCCCACACACACACACACTTCTGAAAACAACATTCAACTAATCTCTTGATAAAGCTTGCAACAAAATTGGGTTATTCAGAACTTTAAATCCCTTTTTTCTATGTTTTTGCATGATCAGTCAGTGGCTCAGCATCCAGAGGTGAAAACTACATCTTGTAGTGCATAGACGTAGAAGTTTCTGGAGGCGGAACCTGCAGCATGTGGTGGGAAAGAAAAATTAGTAAGAGTTAAAGCAAAAAAAGGCCAATACTACCTCTAAAGTGTTTTAAAAACCTGTAAATGTTTACCTGATGTAGCAGAGGATACATGTTGGTATCAGGCGGCGAAGCATGCACAGTGTTAGGCTGCAGGGAAAAAGATATCTAATGTAAAAAAAATCAGACCAAAAGTAGGGTGGCGATAAAAAAATAAAGAAAACAAACAAAAACAAAAAAAACAGAAAAGTTGTTTTAAACAGGTAAAATAACAATTGAATGCATTTTTTTGTACGAAAATGTACTTTTACATCTTCTTCCTGAGAATTCCACTTTTTATTGGCAATTTCTAAACAAGGAAAAGACCTAAACAAATTAGAACAAAAACTGTATGTATAGCAACAAGGGACCAAAGGGAATAAATGAATAAAATAAAATAGGTTCCTAAAAGGCACAGATAGGAAATAAAGGAAACAACCAAGGAAATGGTTCAGATCTGTTGGTATTAAGGATTTACTCATGGCACAAGGAAATATTTCTAATCAATTTATGCAGAAAGAACTGCATCACAATGGTTTTTAAAAAATCTCTTTAAAGACTCTCATGGTCTTGTGAAATGTGATGCCTTTGATTTAAGACATGTTTCTAAAAATGTGGACGTTCCATTGAGCTCCAGTGGGGTCAAAACCCAGCAGTGAAAAAATAAACTAACCACCAAAAATTAAGCACACAGGTTTTCTAACAGGACTCAGTTGGAATCATCAGAAAAGGGCCCATCATAAAGAGCTTTAGAGACTAGCCATGTAATAATGGGAGAATATAATCTGGTCAGATTCACTGTCGATATGTTGCTTTAGGGCTAAAATTTGGTCATTACTAACAGTGAAGTTGGAAGGTGGGGGCATCATGATATCAGGCTGTTTTTCAGCAAATGGTACAACCTGATTTCGAATGACAAGAGAAAGGATTATTGTAAAAATACTGGATTTATTTATCAATCCCTGTCAATAGAAAGTAAGATCTAAGAAAGGGCACCTGGTCAATTCTAATCCTATATTTTTCATGGCCATGACTCCCAAAGCTGGCCTAATTGCTCATTTCATTTACTTGCCTAACTCTGCCCGGTTTCCAATTACCATTCATCTAATACACCTGCTTCTGTTTCTTTATATACGTCTAAGTCCCAGCTTTCGGGGCGAGATCATTGAGTTTGTAATTTCTGAGGTTATTGATTTGGAGATCATTGCTGATGCCATGGTTCTCGTTTCATTTCTGTTTTCCTGATCATATTCTGTCTCTTATCCACTGAGCGTGCCCGGTCTAGGCTCAGTGGAGAGAGAGAGTTTTTGGCAGCGTTGTTTTCATCAACAATGAGGATGATTAAATAATTTCATTGATGCACCTTTTTTTCATGACAATAAAAGAAAACTTACGAGCTAAACATGGATCTTTGATGACTAAAACATGACTAGTCATAGCTTTGAGTTTTCGTCAATGATACAAAAATAAATGAAAATTAGCGGGTGGTCGGTCGGATGCAAAGCAGTATCAGCCTTTTTGCTGTGCCTTGTTTGATCCTGCTGCCCATGTGGTGTGCAGCGCTACACATTCTGCTGGACCACAGATGGATCATGGCAGCAGGGTCTGAAAAAAATAACCCAGAGTGTTCCGGCACTGCACGTTAAATTGCGTGCGTGTAGCTCTGTCTGTGCTTCACACTCCATTCTGATGATTTGCTCTGAGAAGGATTGCTCTTCCTGTTCTTGCTAATTAATAAACTATGTGGCTGATCATCCTCTGCCTCCTGCCAAGCGTAAAGAATCAATATCTCATTTCTTCCAGCTCAAAAGGAATCCCTAAATTATATCCAAATAAAATATTTCATTGCATACTGTTTATTTTTGGATAAAGACGCAGGTGAAAAGTTAGAAAGATCTTTGAATATTTCTCTCTCATAGTTCTCATTTCTATCTTTTTAAATATGATGTAAACACTTCCTTGTATTATCATTAAAATATTTCTATGTTTATTTTTAAATATTTGAATATTTTAGTTAACGTATTCATCCAATTTAGGTCAGAATTGACAAGGCATTATAAGGCAAATATGTAGGTTCTCTCTGTATTTTTTTTTAATATCAGATCCCTGTGAATTTAAATATACTTTGACCCCTGAGCAGTAGTAACAAAGGGGTAAATTCTCAGAAATAAAGCCAAAATTGCCAAAGTAGAAAGAAGAATGTTTCTGTTCTTAGTTTCTTTGGAGTAATTAAGATTTTAATGATCTGTGTGTAACGCAAAATTTATAGTAGATCAGGAAGAGTTTGCTTTGGAATGGAAACCTTGTGTGTTTGAAACTATTCCTTTATTGTACATTTAGTTAGCTTTTTGGCCTGCTATAATAAAAAATGTGATGTGTAGAAATAGATCATCTATTTTCACAGCTTTTGTGAGACACTTTTTTATAAAGTAGGGCATTAATTCATCGAAAAGTTTATTTGAATTCTATCCATATCCAGCAATTGTAGTATCTAGGCAAGAGCTGTGAGTCTGGTAAAGAATCTGGTTGTTATTTGAAATTGTAAAGGTTAACTTTTTTTCTAACATAAAACTGACTAAAACCTTTTTAAATTTTAGTCGACTAAAACCGACTAAAAGTATCACATATTGTAATGACTAAAATGTGATTAACACTAATAATAGTTTTCATCCTGAAGACTAAGATTAAATCTAAGATACCTGTCACAAACAATATTGTTTTTTAAAGTAACGTAGTGTTTCTGATATCCAGACCTGTTCTGCCTCTAAACTACTGAGCTTTCCTGTTCCATTCTGAACAGGAATGCCTTGAATTCTCTGTAGAGTCCTGGAACCCTGGGCCAGCCTATTCCTGTTCTTATTGGTATCCCTGATGGGGCTTTGCATCTGCCGTATCTTGTTGGCAATTCACCGACTGGATCCAACCTCGTTCTAAGGAGATGGACTGAACTGTGAAACCAGGTAAGTGACTCACATGGATAATCATCCTCCGTCAGATTATTGTCATCACTTACCTGTGTTTTTCTCCTATCCAAGTTTTCCAGGGATTGGCATTGCCCTGCCACAACCAATGCAAATGCAGATCCGCAGATATGCTTGTTTATTTCAATAAAACACTTTGAATTATCCCACTGTCTGTCTTGCCTGAATTCTTGGTCCTTCTGTCCTGCCTTTCTGATATTATCACATCATATCATTTTATAGTTATTTTTCATAATTCTCATTGTAATTATTTCTATTTTCCTAAATTACTCATATTCATATATTATTTAATTGCCCCTGTGATGTTCTTTTCTCTGTAATTTTTCAAAAAAAAATTTTTTATGTACAGCACTATCCTTTCAACTGAAATACGTTTTGTGAATAGACTTGCCTTGCTTTTCCATTATTATACAACTGATCTTGCCCATAAGCATTTTAGTTATCCTCAAGGACATATTACCAAAAAAAATTGCTGTCAAATTATATTATATTTTAGATATAACCTAGGTTTGTGTAAAGCAAGTGTCAACTCCTGAAATTATAGTGGGAAAGGGTGTTGGTTAATATTTGTTGGGATTTTTGTTTCTTGCACAGATATAAAGTGATCTTAATTAAGCATCCACCTTATACTTACATCGGGAGAGACAAAAGCTTCCTCGCTAGGTTTTGATTTACCTTTTTTTGCAGCAGAACCACCACCCACACAAACCACCAGAAGGACCAACGGAACAACAATATAAGCAGCTAGGTGATTAGATCCTATTAAAAATATATAGGAAGGAAAGTTATGGTTAAATCCTCTGTAAACTTTTAAATGTAAATCAGAAATGCTGTTTTACTCACCAGAGTCAACATCCAGCTTAACAGACATTGCCAGGTTGCCTTGTTGGTCATAGAAGTTAAACGTTCCAGAATCTTCTGCTGTCACTGATTTAATTTCAATGCTATTATTCTGAATAGTAATTCTCCCCTCGAATCCAGTGCCTTCCAAAACTAGTTGATTTTTGATCATCACCCTCTGTTGTTTATTTTTTGACTTGAACACCACATCCCAAGGTCCTCCACGCTCAGGAAATTTAATGAAGAGGCTCTCATTCACTTTCAGTTTATAATCCTGGGTTTCTTCTGTGTTTGGTAGATTAGACATAGATGTATATTTAATTTCTACAAGATAATAGATAGAAAATTCCACATGCAGCTTAAAACAGATTTAAAAATGTACCTTTTATAGATAGCTTTATCGTTAGCTCAACTTTTTTGTCTTCACGAACAAACAAGTAGAATCCTTCGTCTGCCTTAGTGAGATTGACCATTTTCCAGACATTGTTCTTCACAATCACTCTTTTATCAGTGTTTTGACTTTTTGTACGATCCCAGAGTTTTTCCAGTTTTTCAGTCGAACCCTTAAAATACAGGTACTGAGCTCTTTCAGGAACCCCAAGGGAAACACTCTCCATATACTTCTTTGTAATACATTCTGAAATAACACAATAAAACAAAAAGTGAATTTATGTGTAAATCCTGTTGATTGAGAGAATATGATTTTTTTAACATTTTAAATGAAATAATTTTAACTTTCATTTAAAGAGGATTATTTAAGTGTTAAATTAGCTAGAATATCTTAACACATAGTAAAGCGTCTGAACTCCACCCATCAACCCAACATAAATAAATACAAAAGCAGGGAAAAAGTGAAATTGTATGAGCTGCACAATGAATCGTTTCCTTAAGATATTAGAAATACCAGCTTGTTTTGTGACAAATAAAAATGTCCAAATTCTGAGGCCAATGATTAAATTCAATTCTCTTAAGCATTCAATCCCTTTTTAGTGGGAAAGATAACCAAATTTATTAGACATTTACAGTATCAGAAAAAATTAATTAAAACATTAAAATTATCTGGTGAAAAAAGTGCAAGTAGATGTATTATAGTTTGTAAGAAAATAGTTTGCATAGTTTGTAAGAAAATATCAATCAAATCATAAACAATATATTCATAAATTCTACTTTTTTTCTAACAACTTTTCTGGTTGTAAGGGTAATTATAAGAAAGATGAAACACAAAGTCAATCACATTGCATGTTCAGTTATTTATCATGAGAGTAGTTCTTACCTATTACTTTTACCTCATACTGGTTTACAAGCCCTCTGAGAGATGTAAATTGATATTTTCCTTCATCTTCTTTTTGCAATCCTTTAAGAAGTACTTTGCTGTACGAAACTGTGATACGTGGGTCTGTAGCCTGAAAAATGTTAAACACAAGTGAAATATTATACAGACATGCTAGATTCTAGAACAATTATTTCATAATATAAATAACAGCAGGAGCTACACATTAAATGTACAGAAAATTTTAAATATCACTATAAAGATTTTTTTTTTAATTTACTCAAACAAAAAGTAGTAAGTACTCCAACTGAACCACTTGTACCATCAAGATGGAGGTGAAGAGAAATAATCTAAGCGGGATGCCATAGAGACAGTCCTACAACCTAAGCTGTGGTAAGATGTGGAATAAAATCAGAATTTTAGTGAAAGAACAGTTTTCCATCCTAAGTAGTTTACATAAACACAGCTAAATATCTGCAAAAATAGTTTCTAGATAGAACATCTACTATGAAATATCACAATTAATTCTCACAAGCTCTTGTTTTTTTTTTTTCTCAGAAATTGATTCAGGCTCTCGTATAACAAAACAACACAATATAAGTTTGAAATGTAAGAAAAAACAAAACTATAAACAGTTTTTGTCTAGCTCTATGATGAAAATCAGCTTATCTATAGTGAAACAGAGAAGATAAAATAACAAAGCTAAAAGTTAGATAACACAACAATTTTATTTCCTTTTTTTTAATGAAGAGAAGTTTTAAATTTAAAAATCTTCTTTTCTAAAACCGAACATAACATCACTGAAAAAAACAAAAATATATTACCTTGCCTTTATACATTAACGTTTTTCTTTGTCCTTCAGTTGAAATGAAAATCAGATTCCCTTCTTTTGTCACATTTCTTCCACCTTCCAATTGAATAGTTCCGCCTTTGCAACTTGATTTTTCAAGTGTAGTGCCTACATTGAACAGAAAACGGTTTAAATAACAAGCACTAAATTCACAACAGAGAAAAAATATGTAGCCTATAAAATGACGCATACATCAATATGCAGATTAATCAACAACCTGGAGATAAGTGGTAAGGGCCACAGGGACATGTAACAGGAAGCTGAAATTGATCTACTAACATTTGTAGGATGGCCATTCTTCCTAATTAGCCCCAGTCATTCAGGATTAGTGCAAACAATGATTTTTTTAGACCAAACGACCAAATTGAGTTCAATCAATTTAACAATTGCATCATTAATTAAATTCTGTTCAACACATAGTATCCAGAATTGAAAAGGAGCAGAAAGAAGACAAATCTTGTAGACCCCCCCCCCTTTCATTAGTTCCAAAAAAAGTTGTCGTCTCTCAGGGTCCGTTTCAAGAAGCAGGTTTAACAAAGTCACTACAGTAAGTTCACTATAGCCCCATTTACACTACCCTTGAAAAACCGATCCAGGCCGAGACCGGTCCGAGCTTGGATCGGTAACCAGGCCAAGCTCAGTTTTGACGACCGTTCACACGTCACACTTATCTCGGTTATCTCGACGCCTCGACTCCTCGCCTGCTAGTGACGATGTGCGGTATTACTGCTAGGATTGAAGGAGGGACTCAAGCAGCTGCTGGCGGTAATGCACCAAACGCTGTTTGTCAACCGCCGTAAAACCCAAGAAGAAGAAGACGAAGGAGGAGGGAATCAAGCAAATCAAAATGGCGGCGCCCGTCACATTCAGAAAGTTATGCTTGATTATTATTGCTGTACTTCCGTGTTTGCGGTGGGTCAGGCGAAGACGGCAACCTTGCGCGGATGTACTTGAGAAAGTCGGCTTTTGGGAAGCCGACTTTCTGGAATGGAGTGTGAATCGGCATGTTCAGCCAGTCGGCGATGACGCGTTCTGCTCATGCGCTCTTGTTATCAGAGAACCGAGCCAGGAAAAAACCGAGCCGAACCCACCTCGGGAACTGGTCTGCAGTTAGCGCGGTCCGGTTATGTCTATCTCGGTTCAGTTCAGGTTGTTTCCGTTCACACACGACAAGTTATCTCAGTTACTGAGCTCGGACCGGTCTCGGCTCAGTTTTTTAAGGGTAGTGTAAACGGGGTATATGTAGTCCCCGCTCTATATAGTGATTGGGGGATTTTCGGGGTTAGGGCTGATGTTTGGGCACAGTTACTGGTAGTTTGTATGAGCTATGAGAACAGTAGGTTTTAAACAGTGCATGCATCTCATACGTGCATATTTTTAAATATTGAAAGAACAAATGTCTCATCATCGGGATTTGCTCCGTGATCAGAGGAAATGTTACTTGGCACAGAACAGTTGTGAAAATTGGAAGTTCAGTTTAATATAATATTACAACTCTGTGAATAGTTCCGTCTGAAATTAATGAAAATTGTTGTTTTAATGGTTATTGAGTCAGATATGTGGCGGTAATGTTTGGTTTATCTAAAGGTTTTTATTAGTGCTGTCAAAATTATCGCGTTATTATCGCGTTAACGCGAGGCCATTTTAACGGCGATAATTTCTTTAACGTGAGATTAACGCTATGTGGTTTTATGGTACAATTTTCCAAGTACATCCCGCTGCAGCCTGCGGGAAGGCGGGGCTATTTTCCCCCAGTGTATGCATTTCTCATAGGCTTCGAGAGCGGAGCTCCTCAAGGGAAAAAGACGCTCATACACTGGGTGACGCTAGTGCCTTTTCTTTAAGCCCCACCACCAACAAACAAGTTGAGTGTCTGGTAACTAGTAGCAACCTGAAATACGCTGAGAAAACAGATTACTGAGGTGAAATGGAATCTCGTAGCAGCACTCTTGCCGTCTGTGTACGCCACAGGTCGGTATCGTGTGTGTGTGTGTGTGTGTGTGGGTGGGTGTGTCTGTGTGTGGGTGGGTGTGTGTGTGTTCTCATTTTTGTTAAGAGGCTGAAAAGTAACTTTCTAGAGCATAGACTACCTTCATCTAGTGATGTCGGTCTATTGATTTTGATGTATTGATTGAAAATTGTTCATTATTACCTTGGTTAATTAACATCTAATGTTAACTCTACTAAATTTTATAGCAGTAGGGTAAAATGCTTGTCTTTGTTCAAAAGACTGTATTAACTGTAAAGACTGTCATTTACATCAGCCTGTTTTCAGGGCCTTTTTTTTTGGCTACATATTTGTTATTTTTTGCTACATGCCTCCCCATCTTCTTGCCATATGTTTCTATGGCATAAATCAGTATCTGTGACCTGTTTTCATTTTAAAAAAAGAACATTGGCACAAACCTAGCCTGTATGTATTTTTTTGTATGTCATCGAGAGTATTTAAATGATTTTCAATCAGGAAAAAAATGTGCGATTAAAATGCGATTAATCGCGAGTTAACTCAGGCATTGATGCGATTAATCGCGATTAAAAAATTTAATCGATTGACAGCACTAGTTTTTATCTGTTACTGTGTAAATGAGTTTGGCTGTAATTTAAGGACAGATTCTAATAGATCTGCAGAGTGGGAACTATAAATCTGATAGGATTTTAATTTTTTTATTGTTGTTTTGCACAATATGCTTAACTAAGTATTTTTTGTTGTTGAATATTAGAGATTTTGCAGATATATTTTGTAGATACATTGTTTAGATTTACTTATATATTTCTAACCCTTTTATAGAATAGAATAGAAAATCACTTTATTGTCCCACAATGTGCAAATTTACAGCAGCAAAAAGATTATTGAAAATGGTCACACAAATGAGGATCTTAGAGAAATGTATAAGAATAACATAATAGGGAAGAGTTAAAATATAAAAAATAAAATCCTGTAAAGTGTTTTAACAATATAAAACTGGAGAATAAATAACCAATATGCAGCTATGGACATTTTTACAATAATGGATATTTGAAAATAGTAGCAACATCAGAGATGTGCAAAATGACAGCAGCAGGTTATTTAACTGACTAAGGTTTCTATCATTACATTTGATTTTATTTGTTCCTGCCCCTGGTGGTTGGAACCTTTATTCCACTCTGGATTCTTGTGAGTGTAGTCTTTGTTCACTTTAACTTTTTAAAAAATAAATAAATAAACAAACAGTTTTGAAAACCTCGGTATTCATTCTTTTCCTGCTTTGTGTGTCAACTTTCACGGTTGCTAAGCAACAGAGCATACGGCGGTAAAACCCGCCGAAGGGAGGACCTGTTCGAATTTACTGACAGAACTCTTCCGGCCTCCTTATTTTCAAGGACTTCGAAGGATCCAGTCTAGGTAGACCGCGTCCTTGGAGGATGCAGCCCAGGTTTTTGAACAGAGCCTCTGATTAAGAGCAGAGCTGCCCGCACTGACGCGGCTCAGGGATTACGGCACACGGAGCGTCGTGCGCAGTGAAATCAGGACATTTCCTCACTTTCTAAAAAAAACCCGGGACGCCCGGGACAGGACGTGAAATACGGATATGTCCCGGGAAATACGGACGTTTGGTCACCCTAAACTATCTAAAACCACGATAAGTCAACTATGTTGCAGAAAGTTTTCAATTTAATATTTCATTTTTTACACTTTTGGAATTATAACAAAATATATTTCAGTAAACTTTTTAATCCTTAATTCACTTTATTACATACACCGTTAAAGTCTACATCTCGTACAGACTATTGTTTTACTCACCACAGGGAGGAACAAAAAGCATCAAAATCAACAGCAACATGTCCTGTGAAATAAGAAGAAAAGGAGAGGCATTGAGAAGGTACCATGTCAGTGAAAAGCAATCCCTTGGCTTGTTGAGAAAAGCCTACCTTAAATCCAGTGGCTCAACACAGCACAAGAATGTTGTTGCGTTTTCTGCAGCCGTTGCAAACTGAAGGGTGAGAACAACACCTGAGCTTTTTAAATGCTTTTACATGCCCAAAGGCCTCACTTTCAAGGAAGTCTACTGAAATGTACAAAAACGTTTCTTTGGAACTATTGGGCAGGACTGGTGGGCGTGAATGTAGCATTTTAGAGAAGAAGGACATGGAGGGAAAGCAACATATATATATATATATATGTACATATATAAATATGTATATGTATATATATGCATATTTATATATATATATATATATATATATACATATATATATATGTATATATGTATATATATATATATATATATATATATATATATATAATCAACATTAACAATGCAAAAATAAGGTACATTTACCAAGATTTTCTTTATTCATCATATAAAGAAGTACATACAATAAAAACTTTTCTGCATCACATTTTGTGTTAGCATTAGGGTTAGTATCGTGTGACATCCTTTGTAGAAAGCACAAGAATGCACAAGAATGTTGTTGCGTTTTCTGCAGCCGTTGCAAACTGAAGGGTGAGAACAACACCTTAGCTTTTTAAATGCTCTTACGTGCCCAGAGGCCTCACTTCCAAGGAAGTCTGCTGAAATGTACAAAAACGTTTCTTTGGAACTATTGGGCAGGACTGGTGGGCGTGAATGTAGCATTTTAGAGAAGAAGGACATGGAGGGAAAGCAACATATATATATATATATATATATACATAATCAACATTTAGAATGCAAAAATAAGGTACATTTACCAAGATTTTCTTTATTCATCATATAAAGAAGTACATACAATAAAAACTTTTCTGCATCACATTTGTGTTAGCATTAGGGTTAGTATCGTGTGACATCCTTTGTAGAAAGCACAAGAATGCACAAGAATGTTGTTGCGTTTTCTGCAGCCGTTGCAAACTGAAGGGTGAGAACAACACCTGAGCTTTTTAAATGCTCTTACGTGCCCAGAGGCCTCACTTCCAAGGAAGTCTGCTGAAATGTACAAAAACGTTTCTTTGGAACTATTGGGCAGGACTGGTGGGCGTGAATGTAGCATTTTAGAGAAGAAGGACATGGAGGGAAAGCAACATATATATATATATATATATATATATATACATAATCAACATTTAGAATGCAAAAATAAGGTACATTTACCAAGATTTTCTTTATTCATCATATAAAGAAGTACATACAATAAAAACTTTTCTGCATCACATTGTCATGATTGGTTTAATATCAAACCCACATGCAGAACACAACGGAGGCTGGGTAAAAGTTTAACAGAGTTTATTGAAGGTTCTGAAACACAAGATAATGTACAGGATCTGGATAATGTACAGGATTCTACCTTGACTGGGTCCGGGCTTCTCTTTGAGAGAGAGGGAACCGTTGGGTCCAGAGACTGTTGGTTCAGCAGAGTACATGAGCAGCTGCAGCGTCTAGCTTCTGACTTTGAACGGCAGACCATGATCAGAGTTTCCAGCTCTTCACAGAGAGCAGCAGGGGAAATCCACATAGGAATCTTCAGGTTTGGCTCACCAGGGCAGATTGGCAGGTTAAGCTCACCCAGAGCTTCAGGCTAGAGACAGGTTTCCTGTGAGGCAAAAACAGAGGAGAGTTAGAATCTGTTCTCTCACTTGAGACAACTAAGATTCTTTCGGTATCAGAGGCTCAGGTTGCTAACCAAACTAAGGTCAACACTGCGTCGTCGAAGGAAGGTCTGGCAGCTGGTTATAAAGGGGAGATCTCCTGATGAGTAGATGCGTCTCAGGTGTGCTGGAAGGCTCCAGCTCCAGGAGACCCACGGTGCACTCTGCTAGAGGAAGGTGGTACAGCTCCAGATCCCAACACACATTTGTGTTAGCCTTAGGGTTAGTATCGTGTGACATCCTTTGTAGAAAAGATGGGTGAACATGCGCTTTACATTCTGCGGTGGTAGACCTTATTGCTTTCAACCCAGAATAGCCACATGCAAGAAAAACATATACACACTCACGCATCTGCCACCCCTCCCACACACATATATGTAGCCCCTGGTTAACAAAAATAAAAAAAACATTTACCCCAGTCCTTTTCCCGCTCTCACTTTCTTCATCCCTCCGTAGCCTACAGACTAACAAAAGCCTAGTCTGTAAAGGATGACACACATGTAAAAAACTGTATAATATGTACATTATAATGTAACTAATCACCCAGATTACACATTAGAAATAAACAATCAGAAAACACTGATACAAGACTCTCACGGTTATATATTTATATATATACAATACCGTTCAAAAGTTTGGCTCACATACAAAACTTACCTTCCTTTGAACAGATTGAGTTTCTGGGGGCATCACATTTGGGGGGGAAAATTTAAAACCGCTCAAAATGGCAAGAAAAAGAAAACTTTCATCTGAAACTCCGGCCAGCCCCTTTTCTTGTTCTTAAAATGAATTCTAAAAACATGGCAAGAAACGCTAAGAAACAAACAAACAAACGGGCTCCCGGGTGGGAAATTTTAAATAAAGTTTACCAGTTGGGGATTTTGGGGAGTCACCCTGTTTTTAAAAACTAAGCCCCAAAATTTTCTTATCTTTTTCCCTCATTTTGTGAAAATGGGGGGGCCCGGCCCCCCCTTCTTTTTGACACTGGGGGAGCCTGTTTGTGCTGTCCTTTTAAGGAGTAGTACACACCCATTTGGGAAATCTTAAATTTTCTTAGAAAATTTTCACTTTTTAAATGTGACCCCCCAACCCCCTTTTGAACGGTAGGTATAAAATTAAAAACCCAAAACTTTTTTTTTTTACAAAGAAAATTTCCCAGTAAAAGGGAAACCCCTTTGGGTTTTAAAGAAAATTTGCCCTTCCTTAAATCAGGGGCTAAATAAAAGCCCAAAAATGTTGTTTTTTTCCGGGCAGCCATTCAAACTGAAAGGGGAAGAAAAAACCCTGAGAAATAAGGGCTTTTTTTTTGCGCCTAAAGGCCACATTTTTCAAGTAACTCAAACCTCCCTATATTTTTTATTTTTTTTTGGAACAAGTGAATAAAATTTTTTGTAACATTATATGGAAGAATGCCATCAGGGAAAAAAAAAATAAAAAACATAATCACATTTAAAATTTGCAAAAATGCATTTCATTTTAAAAAATACTTTAAAAAATGTTTTTTCCACTGTATTTTGAGTCTAAATAGTAAACTTAAAGGGTAAACATTTTTAAAAAAACGAAAACAATCCCCTAAAACCCTTTAAGGCAGTCATCCACCCACATTTTTCCCTTTTAAAAAAGGGGGAGTGGTTGTAGAGGAATGAAACCCAAAGCACTGCACTCTGCTGAAACTGACCTGCAGATTGGGGAAAAATCAACATACGGATTTCCCTTTAAATTTTTTTAAACAAAAAAAAAAAAAATCCATTTTTTTTGGGTTAATCAAATCCCAAGTTGGCCGTGTAAATTATGGGTTCTCAAAGGGAGCCCCAATTATGCAGAAAAACCCCTGACCCCAAAAGGGTGAAATTTTTTAAAAACTTTATTTACACAACACACAGAATGTATTTGTTTACGGGTTTTCTGGACCCCTGGGTTCGGGTTTTCCCAACCGGGAGCCCTGCGTGAAGACAGAGCGGAAAAGGACTGCTGCCCGGGATTAGTTTCCCCAAAGTGGGGCCCCTGATTGAACCTTGGGGGTTTTTGGGGTTCTCTTTGGGAGATCCCCTTTTGGTTCGGGAGGGGGTGTTTATTAAAGGAGATTCCTTTTCCCTGCTTCAGCGTCTCACGCAAGTTTGAACAAACCTTAGCCTTGGTTTCCCAGCTCTGGTCCAGAGCTCTTGGAGGTTCTCAAGAATCTTCGGGGGGTTTTGGCTCAGAGGGTCGGCTGGGCGGGGCTAGCTCTTCCTGGTTTTCCCACGGGGGAGAAAAAGGGTTTTTTCCGGGAAAAACACGGGAGATAGGGGTTTAAAGAATCCAACCGGGATTCAAAGCCCATGGAAACTAAAAGACTGGGCCCTTTAGGGGGCTGACCAATTTGGAAAAACAACCCCCCAAGGCCCGGCTTTTGGGGCAAGGTCTAAAGACAGTTTAAAATATAGTGGCCCCCTCTATGACTTGAGGGCCCGGGCCAGTTTGGGCAGGAGGTTCCCCTCAAGGACCCCACGCGGACTCTGTTTTGGAGAAAAAAGGGGATTTCTCCAGCCCCCAACAGTACCCCCCCCCCCTCAACACCCCCCTTTGGGCGGCCCGGGAAAAGGGGTTTGATGGGCGGGAAAAGGGCCGACCCTGGGTGAGTGCCGGGATCGGGGAAGTACGAGCCTGGGACCCACTGGCGATCCCCCCCGGGTTTCCCGTGAGCCCCCCATTTCCGAGGGAGGTATTTGCCAATCCGCGACGCATCGTGGGAGGGGAAAGTCCACGATGCGGCCACTGTGAAAGGCCGGGGGGGCCATCAAACCTCCAGGGCGGGGGGGGTTTAGTCGGAGGGAGGGCACAGGGGGCTCGAAGAGCGGGGCTTGATCGGGGACACTGGGAAAGGGGGGTGGTTTCCGATGGGATTTATGTAATTTGGAGACGAACCCTGGGGGGTTTGATGCCCTTCGGAAAATCCAAAGGGGCCCCATAATCTCGGGGAAGTTTTCGAGACACCCCCTTGAGGGGAAGCCACACCCCCCTGGCCCTCTAGTACTCGGGGGGGGGAACTTTCTTGGTGGGGCGAAACTTTTTTTGCAGAGGGCTGTTTTAAATTTGATGTGGCGAGGGTTTTTCCCCCCAAAAATCCCGGGGAAACCCCGGGGAAATGTGATGATTGACGGAAACCAGCACCGAAAACTCCTCTCATCTGCGGGGAAAAGAGGGGGTTTTAATCCCGAAACAACCTAAATGGGGACTGCCCAGGGGAGGGCCAAACCCGGAAGATTGTGGGGTATTCTATCCCGGGGAAGGTATTGACCCCAATCCAGGGGGGCTTTTGGGAAGGTGAACAGCGGGGGTTGGATTCCAGCTGCTGGTTCATACGTTTTTGTTTCCCCGTTGGTTTTGGGGTTTGGAAACCCCTAAAAGGGGGGAGGGTTTTGGGGCAACCAGAGCAGAACGGGAAAACCC